ACTACTACTACTATTATTACTACTACTACTACTACTAATACTACTATTATTACTACTACTACTACTACTACTAATACTACTATTATTACTACTACTACTACTACTACTACTACTACTTCTGCTACTACTGCCACTGCCACAGCCACTGCCACTGCCACCACCACTACGACGACGACTACTACTACTGTCACTGTTCTTGATGTGCTTATGCTAGTTACCGCTGCACTCCATTTGGTTACATATCATAGGACCTCTCTTCTCTGAGTGTGAAGCTATCAAACCAGGGCACACAAGCAGCTTGTTTCAGCACCAGGCCACTGCTTAAATTCAAAACAATTTAAGCCCTAAGCCCTAAACCCCTAAATCCTGTAACCCTAAGAGGCTTATTGGTTTTAGGAACCCTAAACCCTAAACCCTAAGTTGATCCCAGCGACCCCAGCCAGAGCCATCGACCAAGCCCGAGCAAGTCGGCCGGCCCTCGGGGCAGATCGTCCAGGGAAGGCCAATCGTCCCAGTCCTTGAGATTTTGGGGTTTGCCTAGGGTTTCCATGGTAGTTCCTTTTGGGGGGTTTTAGGGTTTGCCTAGGGTTTCCATGGTAGTTCCTTTTTGGGGGTTTTAGGGTTTGCCCTTATAGTCTCCATGGTAGTTCCTCATTGGGGGTTTTAGGGTCTACCTATGGTCTCCATGGTAGTTCCTTTTGGGGGGTTACCATTTAGGACCCGTAATATAGACTTGGCTAAACAAACAGAAGGAACTGCAATGGAGACTATAGGTCAGGTCTAGGGTTCAGGGATTATAGGGGCTTGATACTTGCAGGGCTGCTTAGAATATCTCTGTATGCTGTCTTCAGAGATCTTCGGTTTAGGGGCTCTGCCGGTTTGATGGCCGGAAAGGCCACGGATCACGACGGGGTAAAAGGCCCCCGGCATCAGGATAGCTTAAGTCTGGCTTAGGGTTTAGACCCCAAGCCCTACGCCTTCTGTTAAGCCTTCAATAGTTGTTGCATAAGTATTTTACATTAGGGTTCTATACGCCCTAAACCGCAAACCCTTCTATAAGGTTTCAGAATTGGCACGCTTCAGGGTTTGCTGGCTTAGAGGTTCAGAAGGCATTGCTTTCAGTTCCCGCATGGAAACATCGAAAAAAACACGAGTTACAGTGACCGATTAAACCCCGAGACCCCCTAGCGTGTAGGGTTTAGGATCCAAACCTCGCGCGACATCGCACCCCCTCACTCAGCCCAGCCCACCGCCCGAAAAAACTAATTTAGCATCATTTTCACATGGCAGCCCTCCCTGCAAGCAGGCATCCCAGCACCCGTACCGAACTCTTGTAGGCCGTATAAGCCCTACATTGCATGCTCAACCCCAGAACCCAAAACTTCAAGGAAACCCTACACCCCACACTCCAAGCCCAAAGCCCCGAAAGACTTGACCCCACAATTTAAAAAAAGCCCTTGGACCATAAACTTGAAACCCTAAACCCCAAACCCCTAAACCCCTAAACCCCTAAACCCCTAAACCCTAAACTCTAAACCCCTAAACCCCTAAACACCCACAGGTGAATAAGCCGATAAATCGTAAGCAACCCGAGCCGAAGCCGCCACAAAGCCCGGTGCAGCCCAGGGCTCTGGTTGCAGCAGAAAGGATCGCCCTTCTTCTGCCCGAAGTGGCCTCGAAAGCTTGTTTTGGGTGTTTAGGGTTTTAGGGTAATTAGGGCTTTTACGATTTAGGGGTTGAGGGGGTTTGGGGCATTCTCATCATCCATGTTTTTTTTGTTTATACAGCCTTTGTGATTTCATCATACCCGGAACATCGCCGAATCCGGATCCGGCAGCCCTCACTTGGGCGCAGCTACCACAAGCCAGGGTAGCAGTAACATCCTTCGATCGCGGATCACTTGCGACCCGCATGGTATTCATCCTCACGAGCGTAGGAGCGAGCGTGACAGTAACCCAGAAAATGTCAGCAGGCTTCTGAGTCCAAGCCATAAGTCCTTGCACCAGAGCTGCGGCACACCGCCCGACAAGCAAGCAAAAACCGACATCCCTCGCCTCCTTTCTCGCCTGTTGCACTCAAACCTACAGCTTGAAAACTCAAGCCCAAGGGCCGCGAAACCTAAACATGTTACTCTGAAACACAATGAATAGCATGCTGGGTACAATGACTTGAGTCGCGGCAAAGCTCACGCCGTTGACTTTTAGAGCCTGGTTGCCAGAACACTTGATGGCCAAAGGTCGGTAGGTTTCGAACCTGAGCGGAACTGGCTCTGTAGCTTCATGTTGGGTTCAGTGTTGTCATTTTTCCTTTTGGGGCGGTGTAGTGGTCGGGTGGGGGTTTGGCGTGGAACAGGTCACAGGCCGAAAAACCTATCTAGTTGGTGTGGTGCTTCTTGCTTCCGTCGATCATGCGCCTACATGTACAGAACAGCAGGCGGAACAAGATGTCGCAGACGTGTTGTGGCCTGTACCGCGGTCTGCTGGGTTTCATCGAGCTCCGACGACACTTGAAGCATCGTTGTGTAAAACTTAGCAGGGCCTCGATAGATAGCCGCACACAAACACACCCCAAACCCCGTTCAGTGTTTGTTGTTTGGTTCAGGGGCTGCCACCAGGGGTTTCAGCTTCAGGGTATTTTGGGGAGCGAAGCAAGTACGAAGATTAGTCAAGCGAAGCCTCTTAGGGGCTGAGTACCCTAGCCCAAACATGGTTAACCTTTTCGATTAGGATAGGGTTATAGAAACCCCAAACATGTTTTCGTTTAGTTAGGGTAGGGTTATAGAAACCCAAAAAATGTTAAAAGTTACCTACTCAGCTACGAGGCCTACTTATAAAGAACCCTAAACCGGACAACAACGCAAAGCACGCCTTACACCAACGCGATTCTTCGCACTCCCGTAAAATCGCAAGTGAACTCAACTTCTGCCTCCTATGCTCGCAAGCTTGTAAGCCTCAAAGCGGCAAGATCCACTTGCCAACGGCACAGCAGAAACAAAAAACAACTCAAAACCTGAATCCTGATTTCAACTCCTTCAGCCGTGTACCACGGCGCAGACCGCTAAAAATCTATCCTCAAACACCCCAAAACAAGCAGTCTTCCCGAAACACTCCAAACCTCGCAGCATAGTAGCAAAGGAGTAGTTAACAATTGGAGTCTTCCGATTCCGGTCTTCCTATAGCCAAAGTCTTGTTAGAGTAAGCCCCCGATCGAATCCAAAACATCCTAGGAACATCGGCTTCCAGGCTCTCTCCAGGTAGTGCCCCGCCTCTGCAACGCCTGATGGGTTCAGGGATGAAAGGAAGGGTCGTGAATTTGAGTCTTTGGTCTAAATGAAAGATAACTACGGTTGATGAGATAAATCCTGCATTACCCATAATAAGGAATATACCATAATTCCCATAGTTTAGGGTCCTTAATAAGGTAATGCAGGATTTATATCATCAACAGTATGTTATTTGTCATACGAACTGTAATTCTTACATTTTACGACAAGCAACTTAATCAGATCAGACCTCTATCTGGAAACCTAAAGCCTAAACCCAAAACCCTACACTAAATCCTATCCCTGAGCCCGAAACCCTAAATCCTGTGTCGCCACCTTCGTGCTCCTTCGCGGTGCAACGCAGGATTTCTTTCAGCAGAGTCTCGTACATAGACTTCGGATACCTTGCTGCGCAGTGAAGATCTGCAAAAAGCGGGTTTCGGGAACGGTTTAGGGTTTCGGGTTCAGGGGGGTTTAGGGGAAAGTCGCTTTGTGGGGGGGGGTCTAGGGCTACAGAGGTTCCTAGAGTATCCCTTACAGCCACCCTTACAGCAACCCGACGAAGGAACCCTCCTCTGACCTGGCTTTCAAGCCATCTTCCTCCGGAGCGAAGGACTTAGGCTAACTTAGGGAATACCTTCACCCCCTCATAGCCTACCTGGTACCTTTTTAAGGACTTATGTAAAGAAATCTAATAGAGAACCCTACAAAAGTAGGTTCCTTAGGGTCCGGTTTAGGACTTCAGGGGTGAGGAGGGTTGAGGGTTGGGCTTAGGGGTGAGACTGGGGTCTCGGGTTTCGGGGTGAGGCTAGGGTTTGGCTTTAGGGGTCAGGCTAGAGTTCAGGGTTTTGGGCTGGCACGGGGCACGTCGTTGTCTGAAGGGTTGCCGGCTTTGGGGCATTCCCACTATAGGCGCTTTTCGGCACCTAACTATACACATTCTAATAGCAAAAACCCTACATGGCGGGTAGAGTTAGAGCGGTGGGATCTTCATGTTGTTTCATCAGGTTCCTGCGAAAACTGTAGGTTGGGACTTAGTTTTAGGGCTTACATCGGCTTACTGTAGGGTTTAATCAGGGAAGCCAGACATGCCCTGTGCTATCACACGCTACTGACACCCAAAACCCTAAACCCTAAATCTAAACCCTAAACCCTAAATTCCTATCTTTTTTTGCTTGCCAAAGCCGACAAAAGACCTTGCAGGAGCTCTGATGGCTGGATGAGCCATCGACGCATCATCAGGGCTGGCTGCTACAACCCAAAGCAGCAAAGCCTAGGAGTCTCGATATGTGGGTAGCTGTCAAGATCATGGGCCCTTATATGGCAGATCCTAGAAAAGCTACTCTTCATACGGAGCCCTAGAGTTTGGCAACCCCAAAAGGACCCTAGTTGTCACACCCGCCGATGTAGGCAACATGGTTGGGATGCCGGCCTCTAGCGGATGCATGAACATGGTCACCGATAGTGGAAGACATCTGCAAAAATTGCGAGTGAGGACTGTTCTACCGAGGCATTGCACTCTTTGAATCTGCGCAGCATGTGCGACGGACGGCTTACCCCTGAAGCTCAGGAGCCCTAAACCGCCTCCGTGACACGGAAGGCTTCGTCCCAAAACTCTGAGACAATCGACAACGGCCAGAGCAGGGTATGCGTGCAAGGCCGCCCACAGCTTGCCAGAAGCTGCACCAAACCTGTAATCAGAAAAGACATGCCAGGCAAACAGTTCACCATAATTATCAACAAAAACAGCAGATGTAGAGTTGACCAGAGATTGTGGCAGAAACATATCGATCGAGATCTTCTCTTCGGCTCGGAATGCCCGCGCTTGGGTGGGAGGCCTGAGCGGTGCAGTTGTTCGTTCCTCTGCTTCTCGTCCATGATGTGCTTTTGCAGCTTGTGGTAGTCTGCCGATGTAACCATCATGTTGTCCATCTCGACCATGAAGTCGAGGGCCACGCAGTTCAGGATCATCTCAAGCATGTTCGGTGCATGATACAGCAAGTGTAGGCTACTCCAACACATCGTGCTGTAACACAGCATGTTGTAAACACGGCCGAAGATGACAGGACCTGGTCGGACGAAGTCAGGTATGTTGTTCAGCTTCTCCAGATCTAGACGGTACATCCCGGAATAAACGATCGACCGGTAACGCACAAGAAAGAACATTGCTTCGAAGCTTCCCAGAAGGCCCAACATCAGCATGTGAAGCAAATCAATCTCGTCTTCCTCGCACCTCCCTGTTTCAGGGTGCTTCGATTCAAAATGCAGCTCCTGCAGGATCATAATCGTGCCCGGCAGCTGTACACAAACGCACAGGAGGCATTTCAGGCATACCAGCACCACGTGGTGATCACACCTCTCCCTGGTCGCCCAGATGAACCCTAGGAACTGAAAAGCGTCGAGGCCTTCTCTACCTTCTGCACACTCCTGAAGATAATCCATGACCTCCTGGGGCTGCAAGCGTGCTATCTCACTCTCCTTAGTTCTTCAGTATCTCAGGCACCCTGTTTGCCATTCTCCCGTCAAAACAAGGAACAAAAAAAAAAAACAAGAAGAGTAAAACGGATACTACCATAAATCTAACCCCCGAAAACTGCACAGCTCCACAGGTACTACTGCTGATGATAAAAATCCTGCATTACCTTATGAAGGACCCTAAACTATGGGAATTATGGTCTATTCCTTATTATGGGTCATGCAGGATTTATATCATCAACCGTATTGGGAGGAACCCAGTTTCAGTTTTCGACCTCCAGAGACGGTCTGACAGCAGGCCGTAGATGCCAGGGATCTCGATCGACTGCGCACTGCCATCGCTGTCGATGCTGGCGTCTGTATCTCTGCCTGGGGATCCCACAACGAAGTCTTCTGCTGCTTTAAAGGGCTATAGACCCTATACTATGAAGGCGTCATCACCTACTATTGTGGGGTTTGGGGCTACAGGTGGAGCCGTAGGCACTATGCGGCACAGCGTGGGAGCCGCACAAAGGCCAGGTTTCGCTTGGAGGCTCATCGATCTCGGGCCCAGAATCGAACTCATCGTCGCTGGCCGCCTCCGGCATCACTGAACCGCAAGCGCAGGACGTGCTCCGTTGAGGGCCACGGCCCTAAAGCTCTCGGGCTTGCTTCAAAAACAGAAAGGTTTAGGGTTTACGGTTTAGGGGTTTAGGGTTTCGGCTTTAGGGTCCCTTCTCTATGTAGCAGCCGTCGCATCTCGGGCTTTTGGGGCTTATACTATGTAGCGGGCGCTACACGGAATCCCCAATCCCTTTCCGTGTCCCGTGAAGCTTCGAGTGTTCTAGCGCTGAGACAAGATGGGACTATGATCCAGGGACTCTATCGCAAGCAACATAAAAGCATAGTCCTTAAACCTTCAGCCCTAATTGAGATTCAGCTGCTTTGAGCCAAACCACTACTGTCTGAGGCGTCAAGTTGCAGAGAACATGGGCGTCCCCGATGCGGGTTTCGCGGGACGGGCGAAATCAAAGCTCAAAGTCCGAGGCGAAAAGCCAAAAGGCAGTTTGTTAAGGGGGTTGGGGGTTTAGAGGGTTTCAGTTAGCGAAATTTTCAAATTTCCACGTGCCATGGTTTAGCGTCAGAGTTTGGCCGAATGACTGGCGGATCTTCTCGCGCGAGACGGCGAAGATGGGGTTGTAGAGGACGCCCGTGTGCCGGGCGATGGTGAGGTTCCTTACCGAGTTCCCTCAACCCTGAACACTAAGCCCGAATCCACAACCCCTGAAACCCTTAACGCCTTAAACCTGTAAGCCATATAGCCCTAATCGTCAACTTTGAACCCTATACCCATAAACCCCGAGTAGCACCTTGCCGTGGCTAAGGCGACTAAGATTTCGATTTCCGGCCCGAGGAATACTAAGATTGATTTGCAGCTCCGGTTGCAACCTTCCTTAAAAGGCTACGCCCTATGGTTACGGGTCGTAGCCTACTTTTGCCAAGCGGTTTGGAGCAGTGAGGTAGGGCTTCGATCTGTGCTTAGAGTCGCCGGTTTAAAGCACTGAGCCCTAACAGGCACGGCTATCTGAAGCCTTGCTGGGCGTTGAGGGCGGAATTTATAGCTATAGAAATACCCGAACCCAGGGCTCTGGGCTAGTAGAACTATTTTAGGGACTGTAGGGAAATTTTGAAATAAAGTTATTTTAGGGACTGTAGGGAAATTTTGAAATAAAGTTATTTTAAGGACTGTAAGGAAATAAAGTTTCCAAACCTGGGACTTCGAAGTTTAGGGTGAAATGCAGCGCGCAAGGCGCAGGGACCTGACCCAAACCCTCGTCGCAAGTACCTGCGCCAAAGAACCCAAGGGCCCATGTACTCTTATGGGGACAACTTCCCTAAATCATAAACAGTCATTCCTAATAAGAACAATATACAACCCCTAGATTCTGCGAAATAGGTACATAGGACCCTTTGGGGAAGGGAGCTCGGTTCCGATAAGCCAAAAGGGCTCAGACCTAGTTCAGCAACGTCCATAGTACCCCCGTTAGAACCGTGCAACACCTGTCTAGAAACTCGGTAACGATCCTTGGGCATTCAGCCAGACAAGTACAAGCCTTTCAAACCGTATAGGCTTTCTGAAAAATCCTGAAACCCTAGGCTCCCTACCCCAAACCCTAGAGGATACTGGAAGAAAGCATCCAAAAGCTGAGGTTCACTGGGATGAAACGTTCGAACCACTTGTCCAGGGGCGTGATGCTCGCACGGCAGGCGGCAGTGTTCTGTCCACCGGCATGGTTCCTGTATGGGCTTTGGGCTTCAGGGCTTTATGGTCTATACCCTAAACCCTAAACCCTATATATATATATATGGCTTTTGCAGCTTAGAGGGCTTAGTGTGTTAGGCTTACAGGCTACTCAGGGAGTTTCCCAGGCAAGGGTTTATTTATGTAGGGTTCACGCCGAGGGGCCAAGGGTTTCCGAGAAGGCCCGACCCCAAACTAACCACCGAACTCCCCAACCTTAAGCCCGAAACTCTAAACCCGAACCTATGAATCCTGAAGCCCTGCAAAAAACCTCAACATGAACTGATTGCTGTATGACTCTATAAAAACTCTAAGCCCGCAAAACCTCGGGCACCATGTATAGAGCCGTAACCTTCAAGTGCCGCCCTGCTCCCCCCCCGCCCGCGTAAGCAAGTGCTTGAGTCCAAACGCCGAGGCGCCGGTAGGACTTCAGTTGGAAGTAGCCCTCGAACTCCATGAAACTGTCTGGCGCTTGGTGTGCCATCGTGACCTTAGCGTTATAGGGCTCGAAGATGATCCTACACCCCAAAGCCCTAAACCCCTCAACCCTAAACCCTCTAGGGTTTATAGGGTGTCCGACACCCAAGTCAGGTTTCAGGGCTTTTGAAGCGTTAGGGTTTGGGATGGTTTAGGGCTTTTTGACTTCGGGGTTTGGGGTTTAGGGCTTGGGGCTTAGGGCTTAGGGTTTAGGGTTTATATGGCTTAGCTTTTTGACTATGGTTTAGGCCTCATTCTTGACTTCGGGGTAGCGGGTTGGGAGCTTAGGGGGCTCTTTGGTGCCCGTGTTAGTTTCGAAGATCGCCGAAACGAGGGAACGAGGCTTCCTCCTGTTGTTAGGGTGTAGGGTTTAGGGTGCAGGAGTTTAGGGTTTCGGGTTTAGGGCTTAAGGACTTTTTCTGTAAAGTTCACGCTCACGTTGATGTTGTTCACTGACAGGGATCAGGGCTGATCCGTGCAACCCCGTGCACCTCAGCGCTGCAGACACGCTACTCGTATACATACACATACTTCTATTATACATATATGTATATGTTGTGAGAGAGAGAGAGAGAGACATTCCTGTTGTAGCCCAGCACTCAACGTGACGATTGGTAAGCTATTAGACAACTCCCCTGCACCCTTCGATCAAAACATAAACCTCCAGTCCGAAGTCTCCGACAAGCTCACCTTCTAGAGCCATGGAAGAAGTCAGAGGAACCCTTGCTGTGAAGAACCATCCACCGCCCGCAGCCAAGAGCGTCATCAACACTGACGCCAAGCTGCACAAACTGAACCGACAACCCCCAACCTTCCACCCAAAACCCTGCAAACCACCAAAAGATCTGCATGCAAACCCTAAGCCCCTGCAGCCTTAAGCACCGAGCCCCTTCTGTTTTGAAGACCCCTTTAACACTACCTATAGTCTCCATTGTAGCTCCTTTTTTGGTTTAACCAATTCTAGATTAGGGATCCCAAAAGGTAACCCCAAAAAGGAACTACAATGGAGACTATAGGTAGCTCCCGAACCCGATAAATATAGGGCGGAGGCGCGAAGCCAGAGAAGCTCTGACGCTTTTCTGGAGTGTCGATCTGGCTCAGAACGAAATTCCTCGCATGGTCCTAAACCCTAAACCCTAAATTCCTCGCCCTAGACCCTATACCCCTTTTCTAGCAGGGTATGACCTAAACCCTAAACTCCTCAAACCCTAAACCCGTTTAAGGCTCCTTTTCTAAGAGGCCAGCAAGTCCCAAGAGGCTCGAAAGCCAGGAGAACCCCGATTCGAGGCCAACGGGGGGGGTTTAGGGGTTTAGGTTTTAGGGTCCACTAAAGCCTATTCTAGGGCTGGGTTCTGCGATGTTCTAGGCTTCGAAAAGTTGAACTAGGGCTCTACAAAAAATATTTCAAGATTCATCACAGACTTCTGCAACCTTTGAGACCGAGATGGAGCGTGGAGAGAGGGCTTTGGGATTGGGATTTTGGGGGGTCTCGGGGCTTCGGGCTCCTGTCAAAAGCCGAAAGCCCCAAAAGCCCTGATCCAAAACCCGAAAATTTGAAAACTTTCGAGCACGAGATCGACCGACACCAGAAAAACCAGACCATAAAAACACTAAAAACCCTGAGTAGACCCTAAAACCTCAAACGGAAAGCCAACCTCGAAAGCCTGCCGGCCCAGAACACTAGAGTTGCAGGGGTTTGGGGTTTGGGGTTTAGGGATTTACGGGTTCAAGGTGTAGGGCTTAATTTAAGGGACCGTCTATCGAAGTCACGAATCCTCATCACAAGTACTTTTCCGAAACCGGTGTCCTTGATCGAAGTTCCAAAACCAGAACCCCGGCACACAAACCGTGAATTCCGGAATACTCCTAGACCCCAAACCCCCAACCCTAAAACACCTAAACCCTAAACCCTAAACCTTAAACCTGAACCCTAAAACCCCAAAACCTAATAGTTTGCAGCCATCGCACAGCTTCCGGCACTTGAGCCAATACCTGGGTCCGGCAACTCGGTGACTTCAAAGTCATGGAGGTTCAGGGTTTAGGGAGGGGAATATAGGATCCAGGGATTAGGGGTAATTATAGGGTTCAGGGTTTAGGGTTTAGGGGGTTAGGGGTAATTAGTATAATTGGCTTCATAAGGTTTAAGGGTTCAGGGTTTAGGGGTTTGGGGGCAATAAAAAGGTTTAGGGTTTAGGGGTTCAGGACCAGGATTTAGGGTTCATGGGGGTTTAGGTTGTTTGGTTTAGGGGTTGAGGGTTTAAGGTTCTAGGATTGCGGGCCAACCCTACAGACCAAACATCACTTCTGGAGTCACAGATGAAGTGCCCCTATCCCTCGCGCAACATGCACAACAGACTTCCAACTTTGGGCTTCGAGGCTTTTGATTGCAATGCACTGACCTTGCTGCTCGGAATAGGCTCTTTATTGCAACTATGACAAAACTCCCTATACCTTGAACACTAAGCTAAATCGAAGTCGAAGCCCAGTAGCCAGTCTTGGTTGTAGATGCTGCCCAGAGTGAAGACCGTGATCGGCGCGAGCTCATCGTAGAAGTGAGTGATGTGGGTGAGGTATGCGTACTCCTAACTTAAAGGCTTGGGGTTTGGAGTCATGTCCACTAGTTGAAAGGTTAAATCGTGTTGCTTCCCAAAATCAGACCCTACTTCCTGTTAAACCTTTGCTTGAGACACGTACGATCCAACCTGCCGCTGACGTACGCAGGTCTATGAGCTCATTACGTAGACCCCGATCCAAAAGACAAAAGCCAGTACTTCCCGAGCCAAAGGCTCGAAAACGCAAGACGAAGCCCGCCTCAAGCCCCTAAACCCTAACAAACTCCTAAACCCCTGAACCCAAAGCCCCCAAACCCAAATCCACTCCTCGCCACCGTAGTTGTCGATGCGCAAGCAGCGGGGGTCGTTGAGTTTGGGGCCTTTGCCTTTGGACTAACGAGTAGGGCTTAGGGAGTAGGGTTTGAGGGTTTAGGGTTCGGGAGTTCAGGGTTATTGGGTTTTCGGGCTTAGGGTTATTGGGTTTTGGGGGTTGGGGACTACGGCCTTAGGGTTTAGGATTTAGGGATTTAGGGCTTAGTGTTTAGGGTTATTGATTAGGTTTACTTTGCGCCAGCGAGCATTCACGTCTTCAGGGCTTTGGGTCCAAAGACCAAGCATATGACATGAGGCTTCTGGGCTGGGCAGTGTTGGGTTTAGGGGTTTAGGGCTTGGGATTTAGTGTTGGGCTAATTCTTGCTGATGTCATGGGGTGTGGTGTCTTTCCTTTTGAACAAATGATCTACGGATCCTGTTCAGTCGCAAGTGAATAGCTCAACAATTGTTTGTTGCCCTCAGCCTGTGAGGCCACAGTTTTATGCACCGTTTACGAGGCAATCAAAGCTTTGTTGCACATGCTTCGTGGGCCATCCCGGAGACGGCCTGTCTTGTTCTAATGGCTCAGTCGCGGCCATGGGTACTTGGAGTCGTTTGATTCAAGGCTTGGCTGCTGCTGCTGCTACTGAGGGTGCGCAACTAACGCATCAGTTGCACGAGCTATCGGCTCAACGCCCCAGAACCCGAACTACACTCTACAAGCTTAGAAGTTGCAGAAATAATATGCCACTACTAGACTATGAAGTCCAAAGAACAATATCACACACAGATGCTTCAGAATCCCTAGAACGCGAAACTGCGAACACCTATCAACAGGGCATGAAATCCATAGCGACTCAGCCAGCCCT